ATGTATCAATGCAACTGTTTTCAATAAATTTTGAAGTGACAGAAAATAAATTACAATCACAAAAAAATACGAAGAAACATACATATTTTTTTAATATCAACACACATCAGGCAAACTTGGTATCAACATGCAAATTTTAAAAGTATTAACTTAAAAAAATATCATACCAAAATTTGGTATCAACATACATCAGGCAAACCAATATAAGTTACTTAAGAAGTCATCTCTATTACTCAATCTCAGGTGAATTTACTTTTGCTATAATCTAAAAGTAATTGATTCAACTTGTGTTTAGACATTCGATATAAAGTCATCATTTCAACTCAAAATTTAAATGTGATTTTGAATCATGGTTCAAATCTCAAATTTTTCGAAAAGCATGATTTGGAATTTTTAATTTTTAATGGCTACACCATCTCATTTTTTCATATAATAATATAGGAGGGGCTTTAGTATTTGGAGACCTAAGGTACTGGTTTTATTTGTCTTAGTTGTATCAGGTGTTTACACCAAATTAACTCAATATATTTTGGTTAAGTGATTTGATGTAATAGGAGTAAAAAAAGAATAGTCTGAAGCACAAAGCATTCTACGTTAGTAGGGTCAGTGGAAGGACCGCACTTCAAGGAATGTAATATAGACCTTCTACTATAATACAAGGGTTAGTGATTGCTTCCATTGTTCGAACTAGAGATGTCAAATGAGCGGATTGAGTTGAAATTGGAGATACTAAAATGAGTTGAAATATAAATTAAGTTTGGTTTTGACCCACCCAAGTTTACTTTGGACTCAAATGGGTTGGGCATAAATGGGCTTAAAAATGAGTTGGGTCTTGACCCGCCCAATTTGACCCACTAAATCTCAATAATTTTAATATATTGTAATTTGAGTTTTATAACCACAATTTGAAAATCAACTCAACAAAAAATTTAATAAGAAATTACTAATAGATAGATAAATTCTAAAAGATATAAAATAGATAATGGAATATATATTAAATCAATGCAAATAAAGAGTCTCAAAACGGGTTGGAATTTGAGATTAAAAAAAGGAAACATAATTGGTTTTTTATCCTCTATACAGTTTTGATCCAAATAAAATATGAATATGTCAGAAATTAAAAAGAAAATAGTTTTGGAGGGAAAATAGATTGAGAATTAACTGTAAATTCAAGAATCAAGAAGTGAATATACATATATATGAACATTCTCTCTTGTCATTTCCATAAAATTCATTCTTCTGCATTTTTCGTCTCTGAGTTGCTGCTTCTTCATTCAACAATGTTTAGATACAGTCTCCTTGATCACAACACTCATGCGCTCCCTTCTAATAGTAGCATCCACTGTCCTAATGTTCGGTGCAGAGCGCATATTGCATGGTTCAAAGATTATGTTCGGCTGGTAACGATTCAAATATAATTTCTTTGTTTAGGAAGAATTATTTCATGAAATTGCTAATGATTTCAATATTTCGTATCATGAATTCTGATTAATTAAGCACTACTCTGTTATAGTTCATTTTCTTGTCTTGTACATTTTGCAGAGTCAATCAGAAGAACTAGGGCTCTTTAATTGGGTGTAAGTATCAGCAACTTGAGATATGTATATACTTTTTTCTGCGGTCTAATGCTCATTTATATATGCAGGTTTAATGTTCGTGTACAAAACAACGTGATTTATAGTCAAACAGAATGTATAACTAGCACAGCCAAAACTTACTGTAGCAAATGTGAAAAGATGATCGGGTGGATGATTGTAAGATACTGATATTAAAGATCATCAACAAGAACATTTTGTTGCTTTTCTTTAAAAAAAATACTGAATTTTTTATTTCTCCAGACTGGAGTCCCCCGAGAGAACGTGTATATTAAAGAAGGAAGATTCTGTATGAGATTGTAAGTTTCTAATTACACTTACACATAAGCATTATGACTTATAAGGGTTAATACAAATGAGTATTCTGTGGCAGGGACAAGCTTACTTATTCGAATCATCTACCGTTGGTTCGTTTAATTCCTGAGAACCAATTTTTCCAAGCTAATGAGGAAAATGCAGATCAAGATGGAGGCTCAGATGAAGATTATGATGACAATATTCCTGATTACATGATGCATCTTATCAGGCTAAATGCTTATCTAGGTACTGACCATACTGTTGATCAAGTTGTAGGAGGCGGTAATGAGCAAAATGCTGATCAACATGGAGGCGGTAATAAGCAAAATGTTGGTCAAGATGGAGGCAGTAATGAGAAAAATGCTGATGAACATGGAGGCAGTAATGAGCTAAATGTTGGTCAAGATGGAGGTGGTAATGAGCAAAATACTGATCAACATGGAGGCAGTAATGAGCTAAATGTTGGTCAAGATGGAGGCGGTAATGAGCAAAATGCTGATGAACATGGAAGCAGTAATGAGCAAAATGTTGGTCAAGATGGCGGCGGTAATGAGCAAAATGTTGGTCAAGAACCTGGTAATGAGCAAAATGTTGATCAAGATGGAGGCTCGCCAATGAAACGACCAAAGATATAGATCAAGTGGCTGATGGAATAGATAATATTGATGAAAATGCAGACATTGATAGCGGACTCATGCTGATATTCTGCTTATACAAAATGCTATAATTCATAATTGTGTGATATTCTGTTTTGCATTTCTGTTTTGAGATTACACTACTACATATTGAATTACTTCAGGTTGAATAAACCAATTTGAGACTGTATATGGTGCTTAGTTTGTTTTAAATTTCTTGATACAAGTCATCTTTCAAGCATTTGAGTATAAGTTACTTCCTTAGATTTTGCTACTGAACTTTAGTTTGTGGATGACTAATTTTTGTGTGATATTCTGTTTTCCATTTCTGTTTTGAGATTGCACTACATATGGTATTACTTCAGGTTGCAATGTAGATATGCACAATTGTTGTTCTTATATATATAGTGGACCTCATAGTTGAGGATTCATGTTAATGTTAAGGTGCAGCTTCTGTTTGCAAAGTATTAATTCATAACTGTGTGATATTCTGTTTTTTTTTTTTTTTTTTGGTTTTTGGATTACACTACATATTGTTATTACTTCCCATACAACAGTAATATGGGTTGGAGCTTCTGTTTGTTTGCAAAGCTCCGACACATTAGGGAGAGAATTATAGAGTCTTAATGTAATCCTAGTCGACTTCAGCTAGTACAATAAATAGCAGCCTAATCGATATAAGTAGTCTAATTCTAGTGTGACTCAAACTCTTCAGTAAACTCGTCAATCAGCTTCATTAGTCATGTTCTAATCATAAGCTTCCGTCATCTTCAACACATGTATGCAAAAGAAAAAGAAAATTTGATGTGGAACAGCTAGATAACCTTTTCTATTTATAGCCAACTATATGGATTAAATGGTTTGATGTTGAAAAGCTAGATAACCCTTTCTATTTATAGCCAACAATATGGATTAAATAGGTGTGAATTCACCTGTTCAGAACATGCATGGTGTCGTTTGGGAGAGGAGATGTTTGTTCGGAAGGAACATGTAACTGCCCAGTCCACTAGGGATATTGTCCGCTCTGGCCTAGGCTCGCACGTCTTTAAAACGCGTCACTAGTTGGTAAGGTCTGCTTACTTATATTCTCCACATCTCTCTTGTGTTTTGCTGATGTGCGACTTTTAATCTTAAGTTGGGGTATCACAGAACACGTCCTTTCCGTATATTTTCTGCAAATTTTAAATTAATTTCCCGAGTTAATTAATTAATGATCCGTGAATTAATGAATTAATAAATAATTTTGTGAATTAATATTAAGAAAAAAAATAATTAATGAGAATGATGAATAAATTGTCTAAAAAATTATCAACCAATCATTTGAGCTGGTGAGGAAGCACTCTCTTTGTAACCCTTTTAAGAGCTAATGAAGTATTTCTTAATATAAGGACAATATTTTTCCAGATGGAGAAAATAGTTTTGGAGGGTAAGAAAATAATAATTTCGTAAAAGGGAAATATAAAAATAAAATAAAATTCATCCCTAGTAAAAGGTTAGAAATTTTTCAGAGCGATTTCAAAACAGAGCTCTTCTCAACTAGTAGTATTCAAGAATCAAGAATGAATATAATTTCAGTTTTGGGCATTTCTCCTCTGCTATAATTTAACCCATTTTCTTTTTCTTGGATTCTCATTGATCATCAACTCTTTTCTCCCTGTTATCTGGTGAGTAGTTTGTCTTTTCTTTCCATTGATTTTTCCAGTTTTTATATTTCTCTTACACTTTGTTCTTTATTCTTTAATAGGTGAATCATGTCTATTAGGATTTGGTTCTTGATTCAACAATTTATGATGAGACAGAATTTGCCTGAATACAATCATATCCCTTCTGTTCATTACCTCTACTATCGTCATTGCAGAACTCAAGTTGCAACCATCCATGCTGACAGCACCACTACACTTATGGCACATAAAGGAAAACTTTCAAAAAACAAAATACATATCAAAAATGGCTTCGCCCGGACTTGAACCGGAGACCTTCAGTGTGTTAGACTGACGTGATAACCAACTACACCACGAAACCTTGGTATAAGATATTACTTTAGACTTTAGATCTATTATCTTGGTTTGCCTGTTCATCTCTTTCTTCCTCAATCTCATGTGAATTTACTTTTGCTATAATCTAATAATAATTGATTAAGCTTGCATTTAGACATTCGATATAAAATCATCATTTCAACTCAAAATAAAGTGATTTGGGATTTCAAATTTCTAATGGCTACACCATATCATTTTTCCATATAATAATATAGGAGGCCCTTTAGTATTTGGAGACCTAAGGTACTGGTGTTATTTATCTTAGTCGTATAAAGTTTTAAAATCAACTCAATATATTTTGGTTTAGTGATTTAATGTATCATCAAAAAGAAAATAATCTGGAGCACACAAAGCATTCTACATTAGCAGAGGATCAGTGAAAAAACCGCACTTCAAGGAATGTGATTTGGACATATTCTACCATAATACAAGGGTTATTGACTGCTTCCAACTTCCATGGTTTGAACTCATTGTTCCAAGATTTCCTCTTGATTTGGTGCAACAAACATATTAATCATTGCTCAATAGTATGTCTCACATCATTTGTTTGATGCAAACACTTGATACAGATAATTTAGTTATTTTTACTGTTGAAATTCACGCAAACATCTACAACTGAGATCAGGAGCAATTGTCTCCACAAATTTTTCTACTATTTCCTAATCTACTGCTTAACCACTATCATCTACTCATCTTGCTACCATGTTGATCACTAGCTAGTATTACTAAAAATAATAGCAAATGCTACTGCAAGGCATTAGACAAATCACTGTTTCCATCCTCTCGGGTCGATCGATTCTTTTGCTTTCGCAGATAACATTTTGTTTTCACTTCTTTTTGTTTCTCAGTCAGCTCCAATTTTGTACTCCTGCAGACCATTATCAAACAAAGAAAATGAATCAAGAATATTCACATATCAATTATCCCGTCATAACGGATGAAAACCGGTCAATTATGGAACCCCACATTAATTTATATGGAAGCAAATATAAAGTCAAGAGACCTTGGTATTGTAGCATTTGTAGATTTCAGTCAAGAAAGCAGGACATGATATATATATTAGCCGGACTGAAGTTATGTTGATGGGGAAGTCTAATAAATTGGTGAAAATATATTGTCATACACTATCAGTTTTCCTTCCAGCTATTGAGTAAATTAATTGACGTGTTATGGTGAATAAACTGATAAAAAGCTCTAGTTTTGCTTACGTAGAGGACAGTAAATACCCAATTGTCCCAGAAAGTACTGCAGAACCTATTTCAGTCCTATCATTTTCTGTAAGAAAAACAATTGAATAGCTGGATCCTCACGTCAATTGTACTGCAGATTGCAGATTAATTTACCAAGGCAAGGAACCTTCATACACCTACCACTCCTTATAAAGAAATAATCATACCAAGATAAGTTTTTCTACTCATGTGACATGTCCCTGTTTTCATGTCCTATAACCCGAACCATTCGTAACTCGCCCATTGCATGAACCTTGCCATTGGCAATCAGCGTCATAGTCGGGATTTTCACTAAATGAGATTCAAAATATAAAGAAATAAACACCATAAAAAAAAAATCATGGGGTCAACATCCACTATGTATATACATAAAAATAATTTGACCATATATATATAGTTTAATTTTTTGACGAGCGGTACCCTAGATCCGCCCCTATTGGCAAAGGTGACTCAACTGTAGTTTTCAAGCAAGTCCATCAAACAAATGGTATATTCATCATAACTTCAACTTGAATTATCCCCGCCAATCACCTAGGCCTTACCATAGGCAGGATGTTGACGTTACTCCACAAACACAATCCAAATCTAATATCCTTGTTACACTAAACTGTTTAGAGGTATGTTAGCTTAATGTTTGATTAGATACAAAACATAACAATTTAAGCCATAGAGTATACACGAAGAAACATAACACAATGTTGAAGGCACCAACAAAAAGTTCACCAGTAAAAGTACTCACCGTTCTACACTGTATGAAGAAGATCTCTTTAGAGCTGGAAATTTCTCCTTCTTCTTCATCTCTATTAAACTCCCACTGAAGTACTCCTTATCTTCCAGCTTAATTCTCTCTTCACTTCCATGATATTCCACCATTGGACTCTCTACATCCTTCACCGCTTGATTGGTACACCTGATACGTGGCAGACGGCTTTTATACTGTGAAATCAAGGAAAATCCATTTTCCTTCCCATAACCGGGTCCGCATTGCTTGAAGGACATTGAACCGCAATAGAGTAATTGCATCAAAACGGAAGCTGCTTTACTCTTTCCGCTTGATTGAGTATTAGCCGTTGGATCTTCGCTGATTGTATCTGGCCGTAAGATTACTTTTCCGTCCGCCTTCATCAACGTTTCTAGCGTTTCAGAGCTTGAATCGGATAGTGGTGGTGAAATTTCACCTCTGTTCAGCTCCGTTGACTGGTTCGGACTATGTTCAACATCGTCCGGTTCAATGGTCCGGTCTTCTCTCAACTCTTCTTCTTCTTCTTCGACGATTCGCATTCCTCTTCGCCGGCGTCGCCTGTCCTCTGTTTGAGTTGAAGCGTCGGCTCCAATTCTTCCAAGTAATTCGCCGGGTGATTCGGCCTTGTAAACTAGGTACTCGTGGAAATCGGAGGAACTCCAGGACTGGTTCCGGCGCCTTGCCACTGCAGGAAACTCACGATCTTCACTCATTTTCTGTATTTCCGGCACCGGATTTCTAGAATTAGAACAAGCGATTTCATCGGGTTGTGAAGGCAATGCGCTATCGAGAAGCTCTGATCCTTTCAGAACATACTCTTGACCATGTGCTGGGTATATAAAATCATTCTCTGTCAAATCGTGCCACACGAATCCGTTCCTATAGCTTCTGAATTTCCCAAAAAAGTAAGAAATTCATTTCAGCTCCATATGGATAAACACAGGTACAGCAGAAATTAAAATAGAAAATGGAAAGTAATCAATTTACCTTTTAGCAGACCAGGAGTACATAGAGGCCATGCCTTTTCCACGAAGACAATTCAAGCGGTTGATAACATCTGAATGAAATATCAAAAATCAAAACATGTGAAATCATATGAACACACGCTTTTTTAATTATCTGCTTCAGCTATGGAAATTCTACATACCTCTGAGATACAGACCATCAGGGGAGGAAAGAGGCACTTCCATGAAATGAGGATGCTCAAGTTGGCCATTTCTGGAGAGATAGTAAACGACGGGTACTTTTCTGAGCTTATGGTTAGGAGGTTCAGTCCAAACTTTGGTACGTTCAGGGCTTGTTTCTCTACCTTTCCATTTCTTGTGCATTTGGAGCTCCGTCGTCCTCGACATAGTTCTTCCCAACCGCTTAATTTGAGAAACTTAGAAGAAATGGAACCTCGATATTTGAAATTTGAAAGCTTGGAATTCAGTGAAAGTTGTGGAAACTGAAAATTATACTAAAGAGTAAATGGCGGGGGTTCACGTTTATAAGGTGATGTGTGAGAGTCTAGCTGGAAGAATGTGGACGGTGAATGGAAGGAGCAGAGTTTTTCAAAAATAGGATGCGCCATGACAAATCGCCAACGTGTTGACTTCACTTTTGACAAATCGCAAAAGTTTTTAAAATAGAATTTACATATTTGAAAATTACATAACCATTTGTCCTTCAAAATTAGAAAGATATTGGAGTACATAAATTTTCAATATATTGAAATATAATTTTTTTATGAAGATACAATCTGATCTATAATGCTTATAAGTAATCCTCGCTTAAGCAAAGGAAAAGCAAAGAGCGCATTATGCCTAGACTAGCAATAAAGTACTCTCTCCGTCCATTTTTATTTGTCATGTTACATTTTTCAAAAATTAATTTGACTAATTTTTTAAGTTAAATTAGATTACATTAATTCAATATTTTAAACAAAAAAATTGGATATTCAAAAGTTATACGAAAAGTACTATAAATTGCAATTTTTTACACATCAATATCAATATGATGAAAAAATATATCGTAAAATGTTAGGCAAAGTTTTCATAGTTTGACTCTAAAAAAGAAAACTATGACAATTAAAAATGAACGGAATTAATATTATTAATCATGACGATTTAGAAATGCCCTTTTAAAACGTAAATTAAGGTAGAATGTCTTTGAAGGAATTAGTTGATCAAAACGACGTTATAACAAACACACATTTCAAAGAGCGAGTATTTTTTAAAAGGTACATATAGGGATCTTTAAACAAATAATCCATCGAATTCACTGTAATTTTTTCTAATCGATATATATGAATTAGTCATGTAAAGTCTTTCTTTAGCTTAAACGGTTAGGTGAACTGTTATTTATATTAATTCTTCTAATATATTATTACAAAAAAGTGGAGAAGATCACCTTCAATAATACTTGATACTTAAAGTGATTGATACCAATTCTTTCACATTTTTAAAACCAATTAGTATGTTTCTCCATCGTACTATAACACATTTTTAACTATATAAATGTTGTTAGTCTCTTTTTTTTTTTCTTCTCTTCTTTTGGTTTATTAGGTATATTTTCTTGAAGAATTTTTTGGCATTTTAGAAAAAGGGGCTGATGTGAAAGAAGGAAGGTCAAACGTTCACACTTGACACAACTTAAAGTTTGGGAATAAATTGAGAGCCCGTCAAAGGGTGTTGACTAGGAATTGTTTATTATCCTCGACATAACAAGAAATGTGGAACCAGCCAAAATATATTAGAGTGTGTATATATACATATATTACCACATAAAAACTGTATCTTTTTTATTTATATGGATTAATGTATTCAAATGAAACAAATTATAAAACCAATCAGAGTGACAGTACGAATGATATCTTGAGTAGATTGGTCAACCTTACAAGAAAAATCTATTATTTGACGTGTCAATATCTACCCTATTTATTGCTTCAACATTTTCTGAATTCGTCCAAGTTACAAATATTTACTCTCTCTTTACTTATTATATTATATTGTTAATATGATTTTCTTGTATAAAATTAACTTTGTTATTGTTATTTTTAGTGGTTCTGAGATAATGAACAGATATATTTAGTCACACATTCTCATTAGAAAATAAATAAAATATATTTAGAGGGGTATGTGTGCGTGTGTTGGTCGACACAAAAGACCCAATTTCACGTGGGTTGTTGACCAAACTAATCAAAGCATTTACTACTACACAATTTTATATAGCACCGGCAACGTGCCCAATAATATCTCTACTGCTCTCAAAATAACATTGTTTATTTCTTTTCCCTGTTTTCCAAAATTTTATTCGCTGTGTGCTACTTAATTTATGATTCAAATAATTCGGATTCGCATCGAAAATTTTTGTTTTTACAATGTGATCCTCAAATACACCTGAAATTACTTTAGAAGTTTCGAAATTTGGCGTATTAGACTTATAACATGGACAAACTTTAAGGAGTGGTGTCAAAAAAAAAGGCCATACGGTGCAAATAATCCCACTCTTTATTGGGCCGAGAGCTACTCAACAACAATGGTAGGCCTTGGTATATAGTCCAAGAGTCAAGAACCAACTACTGCTAATGTTGTTTGTAGGAATTCTTACATCACTCCCAAAATAATAGTCGATAAATAAATATAATTTTTTTTTAATCTAAATACATAACTTATTTTATCATATTCTCTAAAATTTCCTACCATTTGAAATTACAAAATCCATATTTTCCTCACTCTATCTTCTATTTTCAGATACATCACTCTTACGCGATGTATCAGGGACGCGAGTATTGGGACAGGTGTGTCTTGTATCACAAAGGTAATGTATCGGGACATGTGTGTCTTGTATCAACAAAGGTAATGTATCGGGACGCGATATATCGAGAAACGTGTGTCTTCTATCAACAAAGATAAAGTATCGGGACGCAATGTATTGAGACATTGAGTGATGTATCCGAAATCCTTAAACTTTAAGAAATTTTTATAATTTGTAAAAGAGTAGGGACAGAATGCAATTAGCTCTTAAAACTAAAAGTTTTGTGTAATTTTTACGATATATATACTTGTATATAACTAATGTATAGTTTGCTTATATATGACTAATGATTTTAATCAAATATATAACTTTTTCAGTGTTGTAGCACAAAAAATGAAAAAGGAGTATAGTGACAATATAAAGGTAGTCGCATATTAATTAATTAATTAATTAGAAGAATAAGATGAGAAGGTGACAAAATGTGGTTGATGTTTTGTATAAGACACGTTAGTATCATCTGTATATAGTCAAGGAAAATGAAGAATGACGAATATGATAAGGGACTTATCTTAAATCTAATCAAAAGCAAAATAAACAAAATATAGTTGGAAGGAATTGCAACTATTCATTTCTCACACTTTGTGCCATCCAAATTTCAAATCACAAAGGACAAATTAAATGGCCTTTACTAAGATAACATATACGCACATTTTCAGTTGAGTATTGTCCACCATGATTAGACACTGAGCCAAATCTATGACGAGTTCTATGAATTTAACTGAATATTAAATTTTATTTATATACCATGTTTTAAAAATCAATATATATATATATATATGATAAAATTACATTTATTTTGAATTTTTCTAGCTTAAAAAACAACTCTTTATTTTTCGTATGTTCTTTAAGTGTGTTAGTGTCCCATATCACATAGATTCCTTATATAATCTTGGACAATTCTTATATGGTGAACTAGATTTTATGATTAAGTTAAAGTTCATTTTTAATGATGATAATAGAGTTATCATTATTTTCCTCGATGTTGCCCCCTCGTAAAATTATATAAAAATGTATATGTTGGGTCCATCCCAATTTATTAAAGTGCAATCAGAAATGTCCAAATGGTTTTAGCTAATTTGCAATTAAGGTTTGTCGTCTGAGTTCTTTAAGTACACGTCTGTATATATCCACATAAATTGATTGATTTAATAATAAGATAAGATAAGACAGGATATATTATATTATATAATATGATATGAAGCAACTTAGACCATAAGTAGGTGATTTAATTTGTGGCCAAAATTAATCATTTGAAATGCGAATATTCATGCTCGTCATATTCATTAATTAAAAGCATACAAAAACTTTAATCAACAATTTATCGTTGTTATATATGAAGTTATGGCCCTTTAATTTGGAGCTAGTGAAGATATGCCAGCATAAATTACTAAACTTTAATTAATCCAAGAAATGGATAATTAAGGACCTTAATAAGGTGACTTAAACGGTAAAACCTCATGAAGGTGTTATCTGTGTGTTACTAACACATAGTTAGTACTAATATACTAAGGATTAAGGAAAAATCAGAGTGTAGAAAAAGGACTAATTTGATAACAGTCCTGTAGTCGCATAGTTTTAAAAGAAAAACTTTAATTTCTTACTCTTAGAGTTATTTATATTTCTTTCGTTTTTTTTTTGTCTTTACATGATAATCCAATATATTTGTTACTTTCATGTAGGGGTGTTCACGGGTTGGTTTGGATCGGTTATTAGTCAAAATCAAAACCAAACCAACTTAATCGGTTTTAAAATTATCAAAACCAAACCAAACCAAATACAATATACATTTATCGGTTTGGTGATTATCAGTTTCGGTTTGGTTTGGTTCGGTTATTCGGTTATTAACCATACACAAAAATAAAAGAAACAATTCATTTAAAATGTGAAAAAAATGACAACAATCCATTCAAAACGAAAAATAGTTAGAATGACTTAAATTACTAAACTTTCAATCACTAAATTTACTATCAATAAAGCTTTAAAATTCACTATATTGGCCTAGAAGGAAGAGACAATAACATTTTCAGTCCCACAAAGAATTG